CTAACACACTGAATCTAAAATGTGTCAAAAATGTGTAAGTTTGTTACTGTAGGACGCCAGCTCCCCAAAAGGTTGCTAAGAACCCAAATTCCCAGAAGAAATTCTGATGAGGGTGTCCTCAATGGTACCTTTGATCTGTTGTGGTAAAGGTCTAAGCTCTGTACAGTAGATGCACTGTAGCTGTCCATATTTAACAAGCAGATCCCACATTCTCTGACATAGACTGTGGTTGGAAATATGTTAGTACCATTGGTTAAAACTGTTTGATTGCTGCATACTAACAGGATGTAATGTGCAGTTATGGTCTCAAGATAAAATCCTAAGGAACACTAACAGTTCAAGCTGAACCTGACAAAAGCAAGATGGCGGTGGGCATACCGTGGGCTGAGCCGGAGGTCCCAGAGTCGAATGAAGGTATCATAGCCGCAGGTAAAGAGCTGGAACGGAGTCTCAAACACCATGTCCAACACACCGGCCCCACGACGAAAATGTGTGCCCAGACTGCACACACACTCCGACCTGACGGAGGAGAGAGGGATGGAGGGGGAGGAAAAAAAGGAGAAATGAACATGTTGCTTTTCACATGTGGAATACGATAATTCCCATGTGACATGAAGGAGAACGAAAAAATAAATGTTACAAAGGGCAGTGAAAAAATTGTCAATTTGCAGTTGGCTTCATTTAAAATGCATTTCACTGTGGGGGCAAGGTTGATGTTGAGTGGTATTTTTCTACAGAACTCCATGCAAAAGTAATATCATTACTTTACTTATTACTCCCCGCCAACAGTAATTAGAGTACTAGTTATATTACTTTTCTGCTAAATCCCACAAAACTGGTAATTCTGTCACTGGTAAATTCAAAAATCTGTCATATGCTCTTCTCAGACAGAATCTGTAACACAGCTGGCTTCATCTGTCTGGTAAAGTGATGGCTTCTTGTCATACTGACATACAGTAGCTGTTTTTCATGAAAATGCTCATTATGGCTTTATACAGACACAGAAAGAGGCACAATGCTTGCACTGTACGTGGCAACTGGGACCAAATGCATAAAATTTAGAGCATAGATTCATGACCAGCGTTGGGCTTGT